GAGGAATATTTAGACCCTGAAGGCCTTTTCTGTCATTGCTAGAACACATAGTTGATAGTATAAAGATGTTGTAAAGTTTCCAAATTGTCATCAATGCTAGATGGTTATAAATTGACTTATATCCTGTGACAGCTAGACAGTCTGAGCAACACATTAAAACTTATTTTAGCCAATGTAATTGTGCAGTTTACATCTCTGAAATGGAGTTAGACACTAGAATGTAACTGTTTCATACTTGAGTAACATTAGGAAAAGTTCTAATAACAAGTGAGTCAAGTCCAGCAGGTGGTATAGAGGTTAAGACAGCTTATTCCACCCAGTGACTGATCGTACTGTTCAGATATGGACTCCGTGGCTTGAATATCACAGCAGGCACATTGTGTGTGTGCACCTAAAATCCTGAGAGGAGAATGGAGGACAGAAAGGACTGGTGTGGCCATCCCCCCAGAGGGTGATTTCTCACTTTCTCTGTCTTTGTCTGTGGTGAGTACATGTACCCTTATTTTAGAAACTAAGGAAAAAATATAGAAAAAAAAAGAATAAGTCAAATATTTATCAAGCTAGGATTAATAAGTCATTTCTAATTTAAGTTTGACAGAAAAACCTTAAACATTTTTTTTTTGGAGAGGTTTTTTTGCTATAGGGCGTGTGCTCTCACCCGACAGACAGAGAGACAGAGAGAAAGAAAGCGAGAAATCACCCCCCAGGGGGGATGGCCACGCCACAATCCCTTCTCCTCCATTCTCCTCTCGGGCTCTTGGGCACGCATGCACACGCTCCTGGCGTGAGTTTAAGCCACCGGGTCCGGGACGTGAACCGCGGTCGACTACGTGGGAGTCCAGCGACATGGCTATTATGCTAACTGTTGGTCCCCAGCCTTAAACATTTTGATAGACAACTGTTCGTGTACAATCCAATAGCACATTCCGCAATTTCAGAGCCATACTTCTATTGTTGCTTTTTTGCCATGTCTACATTTGTAGACATCGTATTAAATATATCACGTTAAATGTTAGGAAAATACAAACTAGGACTTCTCTTTTACAGCTCGTGAAGCAGTCAAAGACTGTGGATATACTATCGAGAAAGTTGGCAACAAAAAAGAAGGCAGTTTCCACAAAAGTTACAAACAGTGGTGTGATCAGGAAAACTGGCAGCTCTTGTCCTGCTAATCTGATCTGTGACTGCTATGCAACAGATAAAGTTTGCAGTATTTGCCTTTCAAGGTAATGGGACTATAAAATCACCAGACAAGATTTGCATTGATTTTGGTGAGCAATTGATTTAATGAGCGAAAGGTAACAACAGATTTGTGCACTCTACAGGCATCAGCGCTGAGTGGTGCCTTGAGGAGCAGATGATAACTTTTGTCATATATTGTTCATCTGAAATGCATATGTTCTTTGGAAAAATATGTTTGCTCTTATAACAAATAACTTGGGGGGGGCTGGGGAATAGCTTTTTTAGAAGCTTAGAATTACACATTTTACTTATATAATCTTTCTATTTTCCCTCTTTATTCCTTTTTGGGATAACCAAAACCAAATAATATAGCTGCTCTCCTACTCCCACCTTCAACTCTTTGCCTCATAAATTCTTTCCTTTACTTCAAGACTGAGTTTGCATAAAGCCTTTCCTGGTTAATTTAATATATAAGTGGAAAAGTGTATCAGTAGTTAATTACCCCAAACAAATTAGTATTTAAGTTTATTTTTTTAATTTCTTTTATGAGAGAGAGAAAAATACCAATGGAAAGACCCTCAACAAGGTCTTGTCACAGGATGATCACTCCACCCCTTCAGTCAGCCAGGACGATGGGCATGTGCACGTTCACCCTTTATTCATTTGGACCTGATATCCAACCCACACTTTTCCATGTGGCCCCAGCATCGTAGAGTAGCGCCCTATTGCTTGTGCCATCAAAGCTGGGCTCAAAAATGGATTTTTATATGAGCTCCTGTTGTATTTTTCCACTATGGTGTTACCATCTACTATCTACTTTTAAATATTTATTTTTTGTAGTGGTTTTTGCCTCAGGGTATGTGTGCTCACTGGAGAGAGAGACAGAGATAGAGGGAAAGTGAGAAATCACCCTCCATGAGGGATGGCCATGTCGTAGTCCCTTCTTTCTTCATTCTCCTCCCAGGATCTTGGGCATGCACTCACATGTGCCTGACATGAGTTTCAAGCCACTAGGTCCAGGACTTGAGCTACAGGTGCTCATGTGGGAGTCCAGTGATGTAACCACTATACAATCTGCTGGCCCATATACTTTTCATTTTTTTTTAAATGTCAGAGGGCACATGTATGTCCAAGAGGGGATTGGAGGAAAGGGAAAGAAAGAAAGCACTCCCAAGAAATTCTGATCATGCCTTAATCTTTTTTCCTCCAATTCTCCATCCCATCAGGACCTGGGATTTGTGTGCATGGTTAGCATGATTTTCCAGCCATGGGTCCAGGATCCAAACCTTCATTGGCCATGTCAGATTGACCCTAACCACTGTATTATAGGGTCAACCCCTACTATCTCTTTTTATACTTGGAAGTTGTCTTAAAGCCTTTTTGGAGTAAGGACAGGGAACTAGTAGAAGAGGGAAAAACTAGTAGAAGTAAAATCTAGATAATTTTTGCTTTTAATAGCTTATTTATGTAGATATCAAGGCAGCATTTATTGTAACTAAATTGATAAATATTGTCGTTTTGAACTTAAATAGATCAACTTTAATATAACATATTCTTATTTATTCATCGTAAGGCGCCAGCAGGTTGCCCCTAGGGCAGGTACACCAGGATTCAGAGCACCAGAGGTCTTGACAAAGTGCCCTAATCAAACTACAGGTATGTCGTACTGTAAATACAGAACCTAATTCAAATGGATTGTCTCAGATTTATTTTATGATCTTTGTCTATTTATGACTAGTCTTTGAGCTCTTTAAACTATGCAAGCAGTTCTAACAGCATAGCATTTTCATTTTTGAGATGCTATTCTTTATGAAAATGTCTAATGCCAACATTGCCTTTTCTTTTTTTACATTTTTATAAATTTTATTTTGCTTATCTATTTACAAGATGATTTTTTTAAAGAATTATTTTTCTTTAATTTTGTTTATTATTAATATCATTATTATTATTTTTAATTTGACCAGAGAGAGAGGGAAAGTGAGAAAGCAAGCTGCCAGATCCAGAACTTGAACCACAGTGGGCCATGTGGGCATCCAGTGTCTTAACCACCATGCCACCCGCCAGCCCCTATTTACAAGATGTTTTTATCAGGAATTTTGTTAACATCAAAATTGGAAAGGAAAAATTGTTTTAAGTAGTTTTTCTAGCATTTCATCTATTCGTGTAATAACCCCAAAACTTTCTGTAATGTAGTTATAATTATGTTTGATTAAAATTATTTTTTGTTCAGACCAGCTGATAGCATAATGGTTATATTGCTGGACTCAAATGGTAGATCGTGGTTCAAGCCCTAAACCCAGCAGCTTGAAACTCACACTGGGCACCTGTGTGTATATGTGCCTAAAATCCCAAGAGGACAATGGAGAAGGGATTGCAGCATGGCCATCCTCCCTAGGGGGTGATTTCTCGCTTTCTGTCTATCTACCTCTTTCTTCAGTGAGCACATGAATCCTATAGCAAAAATCTCTCTTTAAAAAATAAAAAAAAAGAATTACATATATACACACACATATATTTTTGTTATTATGAAAAAAATATAATAGCAGTTAAAAGATTTTGAAAGAGGAAAAAAAGTCTTCTGTAATCTAAAAAGTTATTAGGGAACCAGAAGTCAGGAAACATCTTGTTGAATAAATAGATGAATCTTGGTATTCACTTGGATTATGGGCTTTGAAGAAATGCATTCATTCATCATATGTCTGTTCAGTGCTTGCTAATGATGCACAAATGAATGAGACCATCTGCTCACATGCTGTTCAGGACATACTCTCAAATAATTATACAATAACATGTTGAGTATGATGATAAAACTTTATAAAACATATTCAAAGCGTATGTATCCTGATCTGAAGTGATTATGTAAGGAAGTTCAAGGAAGAGATAACAGGTGAGAATATAAATTGGGTGAGGAGTTAACTGAAGGATGAGCTGAGGAACTCAAGAAACAGTACAGACCAGCGGGTTGTGATGGCATGTGCCTATAATACTAGCAGTTTGTAGAAGCTGAGGCAGGAAGACTAAGACATGGTGAGACCCTTTCTAAATAAAAAAAGAAGGAAAGAAAGAAAGCAGCATAGTGTAGTCATGGAAAGCATGAAGGCTTAGTATTGCTAGAGTGTAAAATACAAGTCAAGGAATGGTGAGAAATAAACCTAGAAATAGGTGGGAAGGTCAGATAACGTTTGATCAGCAGCTTGGACTGTATACTTTAAATGTTAGAAAGTTATTCAGGGGAAAGAAATGGTAATATTCTAGATGGATCATTGTAGCAGGTGTACAGAGAAGACAGTTTTAGAGAATTGTGGTCCAGATGATATATTATGAAGGCATGAGTTAGAGCATTGTTAATAGTGAAAAGAAAGGTAAAGGATTAGAAAATCAGTGCTTGGTGATTGAATAATCGAATATAGAATTTGGGCGTGGGATGGTAATGGGAAAAGGCATCCAAAATATTCTCCAGATTCCTAGCTTGAGGGACTTGGCTGTGTGCCAACCAGTAACCAAGTTAGAGATTAAAGGAGAAGGAACTAGTTTATAGGAAAAGGTAAGATTGGTTTGGAGCTTAATTGGTTAAGATATGGGATATCAGGACCAGCAGAAGGCATATTGGTTATGTCACTGGACTCCCATATAGTTGACCGCGGTTTGAGTCCTGGACCCACTGGCTTAAGACTCATGCCAGGCATGTGTGTGTGCATACCCGAAATCCCAAGAGGAGAACGGAGGAGAAGGGATTGCAGCATGGCCATTCCCCCAGGGGGTGATTTCTTGCTTTCTGTCTTTCTGACGACCACACATACCCTATACCAAAAATCTCTCTCTAAAAAAAAAAAAGATATAGGGTATCTAGATGGAGATGTTGAGAATAGAAGTTACGTCTGAAGTTTGGCCAAGTTGCTGAACTGACAATATAATTGCGTGTCATCATTATATAAATGGTAGTTGAAGCCATGAAGTGGCTGGGCCAGTTGGGGAGCATGCATATACAAGGGGAGAGGTTTGAACTCTGAGGAGCCTCAGCACTTAAGGCTTGAAGAAAACATTGAAGGAACAGGCAGAGTTACAGAGAACTAAGAAAGGAAAATGACAGAGTGGTCAAGGAATAGAGGGCAAATGACTTGATACTAGGAGTACAGCTGTTAAGAAAGAAGCTGTTTCTGAAAGAAAAATAAAAAGAGCTTTGTAATACGAGGCTGAGCTGGTGTTAATCTTAAGGGCCAGAATTCTAGAGGTTGAAGTTTCTATGGAAATAGTTGTGGAAGCATTAGGCTGAAGAAGAGTTCTAATGTTCAATACTTTATACTAAAATGAAACACTTTTCCTGTAGTATGCTGTTATCTACGCTTATCCAGAATTTTCCCCACATAGCTATTTTTGGATTTCTTTTGATTCTATAAGATGTACATTTAGTGTTTGTAATGATTAACTATCTTTTACATTTCCCAACATGTTGCTCAAGGAAGAAAACATTGTATTTTGGGTCAGGATTCTCAATCCTGGCTATGTGTTAAAATTCCCTGAAGGACTCAAATACCTCCTTATAGAACTAGTCAGTAGAATCTCTGAAGGACAGGGCCTAAGCATTTGAAATTTTTTGATTTACTTGTTTACTCCATGAGAGAGAGACAGGCTACCCCCAACAAAGTCTTCATGCCATGATCTACCCCATTCTCAGCCAGCCCAGATCATAGGCACACACACATGTGCTCCTAGCGTGCTCAGGAAAGTCGCACGACAGGAAACCAGGACCTTTCTGTGTGAGTCTGTTATCACAGCAGTACCATCTGGCCCCTACATCTGAAATTTTCAAGGCTCCCAAGATGCTGTGCACCATAAAGGTTGAGAACTGATAATAGATTTAGAATTCATTTTGTAAAATGTGTTTTCTGTTGCAGCAATTGACATGTGGTCTGCAGGTGTCATATTTCTTTCTTTGCTTAGTGGACGCTATCCATTTTATAAAGCAAGTGATGATTTAACTGCTTTGGCCCAAATTATGATAATTCGGGGATCCAGGGAAACAATTCAGGCTGCTAAAACATTTGGTAAGCAGTTTTATATTATGGAACATAACAAATGTCTTTAATTATCTCTGACAACCCTCTTAATAAATTATTACAAAATATTCTTTACAAATAAACAATTCTGCTCATAAACTTCTGTAATTTTCAGTAAAATATTTCTCAATTGCTTGAAAATAAATTTTCCTTTCAGAAATTATCATTCTCTCTATATATAACCATTTCACCTTAACCATGCGTAAAGTTCTGCAGTGCTCCAGTATTTAAAATTCAACTTTGTAACCTTAAACAATAAAATCTTAACTGCTTTTAGTTGTGGTTTGACTTTAATTACATAAGTAGTTTTTAATAATTTAATATTTTTATTGTATATTAAGGTACTCTACTTGGTTCTGAGAATGTCCTTAAATTTAGATCTTAGTGTAAACTAACAACTAAACAGTTCATTATGGTACTTTGTAACAAGGACTACAGTGGAGAAGAGAATAGAAATGTGTGTTAATTTTCGGGTTCCTTAGGGTTAGAGTAACAGAGAAGTGAAATGAACAGACCATTTTTACTATTAGGGTATTATTATTATAAGTATATTGGATGTGGGAAGTCATCTCCTTAGCCACTCAAGTTCTTCTTCAAGACCAGAATATGCAGTGCATTTCATAGGGCATCTGAGGATTATCTCAGCTATGGCTGGCCAACAACCTCCAATGCCCACTTGTGTTTATTCTTCAAGCACAATTATAGTTAATACTTTCTAAGGAGTGAGTATGATTTTGTCACCTTGCTAACATAATATGGAACACTCCTCTGGGACAAAGCTCTAGTCAGTCTACTTCAAGAGTAGTTAGACTGCTTTGTGACCAGACCCAGGATCAATGGGTGTTTTTCCTTTTTTTGGAGAGGTTTTTACTATAGGGCACGTGCACTCACCGGAAAGACAGAGAGAGACATAAAGACAGAAAGCGAGAAATCACCCCTGAGGGCGGATGGCCATGCCACAGTCCCTTCTCCATTCTCCTCTCGGGACCTTGGGCACACACACACACACACACACACACACACACACACATGCCCAGCATGAGTTTAAGCCGCCAGGTCCGGGACTCAAACCACAGTTGACTACATGGCAGTCCAGCGACATAGCCATTACACTAACTGCTGGTCCCTGGATCAGTGGGTCTTAATCAGGATTTCATATCAAAAATATCTGAGAAACTTCAAGAAATATATATACCTGCCCCACCTCGCCCATTCCTAGAAACTATGATTCAGAAAATATGATAGAAAGGCTCTAGGCTTGGCTTGAAAAAAAAGAAAAGAAAAAGTGATTTATCAAGAACCAATTCTGTTTAAGAAGCACTATAAAAATGATTGCCCTTTACTTGGGCACCAGAGCCATGGTCCAATCCACAAGAAAAACTTGGTGGTTGTAAAGAAGATCACATAATATGGGACCAGCAGATGGCAGAATGGTTACATCAGCTGGACTTGCACATGGCCGTCTGGTTTGAGTCCCGAACTTGGCAGCTCGAAACTCATGCTGGGTAGGTGCGTGCGTGCCCAAAGTCTCAAGAGGAAAATGGAGGAGAGGGGATTGTGGCGTGTACTTCCCGCACCCCATGGGGATGATTTCTCACCTTTTAGGTGTCTGGCGAGTGCAGGCACCCTATGCAAAAATTTCTGTTTTAGATAAAAACGAAAACCACATAATATAAGGGTTTCATAAAATGCTTTTGCAGCAAAGTCAACCCAGACTTGTACCTATTTTGTATCTATTATTAAAAAAAATGTTATTTGAGGATACACATTTTGTCAATTACAATATAAGTTAGCAAAAGTAATAGTAGAATTCTAACTGGTTTCTAATGAAGTTTTAAATGATCAATTCTCTCCAAGAGAGTCAGGCCTCCCACAGGGATTCTTGAGCAGAGTAGTGACGTGATCAGGAGTGTCCTGGGCATACAAGGGTGAGGCATCCTAGGCAAGGACAGGAACCATGCAGTCAAAGGTGTGGAAGCTTGAAAGGGTGGGGGCTGGGAGCTATAGCTGGGCAAAGATTACAGAAGGGTAAGGTGAAGCTGCAGATGTTGTCAGAGCCAAGTAAGAGCCTGACATAGCTTATTCACTGCTTTTTACTGTCTCCCCTTGATGGCTTGGCCTTCAGCTATGGAGTGCAGACATAAATGTACATGTGTTTTTTTGTCTCATGCTCTGTGTGTGTCTCCATAAAACAAGTGGTTGAACTTGCATGCTTATCTTGAGAACCTTCTGATACAGTCAAATGATGTACTAAAATACTTTATTTTCTTTTAGGCAAATCAATATTATGTAGCAAAGAAGTTCCAGCACAAGATTTGAGAAAACTGTGTGAGAGACTCAGGGGTATAGATCCTAACACTCCAAAATTAAATACACAAGGACCTGCTTCTCAAGACCCAGCTTTTTCAGAGAAGACTGACTGTAAAGCTTCCAACTTCGTACAAACATCTCAAGTACAGCACTCAGGGAATTCATTATATAAAGGGGACAGTAATAGCTGTGAGGATCATTTTGATGAGTTTACTACCAATTTAGAAGGCTGGGATGAGGTACCTGATGAAGCTTATGACCTGCTCGATAAACTTCTAGATCTAAATCCAGCTTCAAGAATAACGGCAGAAGAAGCTTTGTTGCATCCATTCTTTAAAGATATGAGCTTATGATTATGGTCCTTTTTTTCATGTTTACTGTTGTGTATTGTGAGGTGGAGTAAAAGAGTTCTTTGTAATAGGCATAAGGTTTTGTTTATAGACCAGGGCATAATGAATAATTTATTTTAAAATGTTAATAGTATTTGCTGTGGTGGAAGGCTCTTAAATATAGATTAAGATTACTTAAAATGCATGAGATACTTTTTTGGACTAACAACATGATCTTTGAGTTAAACCCACCTAAGTAGAATCAGAATTTTAGTTTGCTTAATTTTAGCCTAGTACATAAAGATTCATGATAAAAGCTTAAAATTAATGGACGTGATAAAGGTTAAAGGGATCAAAAGATTTAGTTTACTGATTTCTTAGAGCCGTGAGCTATGTATACTTTTAGAAAACAATTTGCTACTGGTGCTATAACAATTTTATAGCTAAAGAAAATAATTTCCTTTTCTAGAGGTATATATTATACCTTTTATGAACACTAAAACAATGAGGACATTTTGGTCATGGGGCAATATCATTTAAAATTGAATTTAATGTATCCATTTTTAAGAGCTATTTCATGCAAGCATTGTTTTGTATGAATCACCTTTTTTATGTGAACTGCCTTTTCTAAAAGATTTTTCTTGATTTGTCTTTGGTCTCAGCTCCCACCTAACACATTCTCCTTGGAAATTATATGGTGCTTATCCCAAAGTTTCTGGGTGCTTTTATTCAATACTGTTTGTGTTTACAATTGGGAACTTAAAAAATACATACACTGTTTAATAAGGGAAGCTGTAGGGCCAAGGTAAAGATCGACAGCCCAAGGTGCTTTTCCTTTTCTCTTGATTTTGTATATTTTTATACCATCATAGGTATATATCTAAATATGCCTATAAAAGAAGGAGTAAAACAAGTAATAAAAGAAAAACAATTGAGAATATTATTGGAGAATTTTTTTTTTTTTATCGCGGCCCATACCATCTAGATCTCTATATCCTGTTTGGACTGAGTTGGTTCTGCTCAGAGAAGAATAATTACTGCAATCTTAGGTAGGTTGGGAAGAGCAATAATGAGCAAGCAAGGGAGAAAAAGACTGAAGGCAGAGGTTTATGTGTTAGTCACGTTCTACGCTTACATGTACATCTCAATGATAGCAGATCACACTTCCCATGAGAATGGTGAGCAATCTGCCGAGAAATTCCCAGATAGTAGTCACAGAATACAGAAGCAGCTTGGAGACAATCATTTTGTTGTTTTGAGCGTTGGTAGCTTAATGTGTCTACCTAATGAATTCGGTAAGTATAATGTGTATATATTTACATATATAGATATAAACCATCACCTTTGATCTCTGCTGTCTTATGCTGTAATCTTTGAAAAAAACTTGAATGTTCTTGCATATGTGTGTTTAATAAAGGTATCATTTTACTTTTTTTAATGTCAGACTACTCATTTGAAAAACAATAGCTTTTTCTGAAAAGAATATTGATCACTGGGAGTATTTTCCTTCTGAGATTGGTGATCTTAATTTAGCAGAGCGGGTAATAGGTTAACAAATAAGTAATAAATGAAAAATAGTAGATTTTTCTATAGAAAAGGTGTTGATTTATAGGGTACTTGTCAAATAAAGCCAACAGTAAACCATCTCACTAACCAAGATGAAGTTTTTACCTGTTAAACTTTTTCTTTTGAGAGACTTTGCCATTAGGGTGCACACACTCATTGGAGAGACAGACAGAAAGTGCGAAATCACCCCTTAGGGGGATGGCCATGCTACAGTCCCTTCTCCATTCTCTCAAGGTTTGGGGCATGCACACACATGCACTTGGCCTGAGTTTCAAGCTACCAGGTCCAGGACTCAAACCATGGTCAACCATGTGGGAGTCCAGTGCCTTAACAGCTATGCCACCTGCCAGCCCCATTTGTTAAGATTTTTGACTCACAAGTTAACATATCTTAGAAAATTAAGGAAAAATTTATTCAATGGGAAAGGAAGGAGAGATTAAGTATAAAATCCAGAGCTGTTTTAATTTTCCATTAATGTCACTTTTTGACAACTTTGTTCATATGCAAAGAGGGGTGGTATAGGGAGCTAAGTTTTTTAAGATATTTTTGCTATAGGGCGCATGTGCTCACCTGAGAGACAGAAAGCAAGAAATCACACACACACAACCCTGCCCCCCCCCCTGCCCCCAAGGGAGATGACCATACTGTAATCCCTTCTCCAGTCTCTTCCTGGGGTCTTGGGC